TCATCATCTTCTCCGATTATTGAATTACTTTTCAGTCTCTGACTGTAAACTGCAAAAACCCTAATAATATCGAATTTTCATCAAACGGAAAACAGCGTGAGAGAAAATTGATAACCCGAGCTATGGAAACCGGTAGAATCCCGGTTTACCAAATTGGTTTAGTTTCAATTTTTTTTGTTACCACTCTTTGTTTTTTTTAAAGCAAACTGTTATTTTAATAAAATCTACCAATCTTTGTAGTATTTTGTTTTTTCACATTTTAGAAGCGAAGTAAATTGCTATCAAGTTATATCAACAACAAAAATCAATCTCATCATTTTAATTCTTTTTGCCTAATTAAACAATAAGAAAGAAAAAGTGAAGAAATCTAGCGTTATATCTCCTCCGGCTAAGAAAATACCGGTTTTCCTCTGGTACGCATGGTTTTTACTTTGTGCCTCTCTAATTGCTCTGCTTCTTTAGAAGTAAGGTCCAATTTCAAAAGCAGGGCATTTAGTTGGTGTCAAAACTTTAGCTCGAATATGGGACAAAAGACTGGACACATGGAGAAGAACATAACCTGAATTTCAAAGAGAAAGTACGAGCTTCGGCATTGCAAAATGAGGCAACATTGCCGACTATGATTCCAGCTTGAGAGTACATAAACTTCTGTATCCCCTCAGGGGCATCAAAAACAATAATTGTCATCAAAATCCAAACTTACCGTAGCAAGAAATTACCAAAATCATCGTTGTATGCATCACACAGAGCAGCAAAGAAGTATTCACAGGTTGATGATCATCATGTATTTTAAAATAGAGATCGGATCCCTGAATGAAACAGACGGACAAATAGAGGTAACAAAGTCACTCAGAAATTCACTGCTGAAAGATCTCAACACATCCTACTCAGAAACTTCCCGTTTTTTTTTTCCTATCACATAAAAGTAATTGTTCTCGCTTACCTTAACTTACCTTCATATAATCTATGATTAACCTTCATTTTCTCTGCTTCCAGAACAAGATTACTACACCGGAGATTCCCACCGGCATTGCTCATCTCCAACATACCCTTGTCTGCATTTTATACTCATGCACCTGAAGAAAAACATTTCTCCAGAGCCTCAGCACCAAAATCTGATTTAATTCGGATCCATTTCTTATAACCATAAAAATGAGTAATCTAAAAAATACTTTGAAGATATGTTGTAGATGAATAATTGCGTTATGCTTGGA